GAGAGAGAGAGAGAGAGAGAGAGAGAGAGAGAGAGAGAGAGAGAGAGGTCTCAGAAGACTCCACAATGCTGGCTGGGCATGGCTGCCAGCTTGTCTCATAAGCAGAGAGGTCTGAGGTTTTCAAAGTCCTTGCTTGAATAACTCCCATCAAAACAAGAGCAGGTTTGACAGTGTGCCCAGTGTGTCTTCCAGGGAGCCAAGCATTCCGGAACTTTTTCTTTCCAGTTATCTCAAGATGCAGTCTCGCTCTTTGGAAAGGACCACCCTGCGGTTCTTTTGGCCCGATTGTGGGTCCTTGTGAGGAAATGGAGGATAGAGCAATGGGGGACCAGGGGAAGTAGGTGGGAGAGACTAGTCTGTCTCTTCCTTTCCCACAGGGAGACAGCTGCCACAGTAAATGACGGTGTCCTAGGTACCCACCTCACCCCCTGCTGCCTGGTACTGCGTGGAGGGCTCATCACCAAGGAGCTCAGAGGCTAGTGAGTTCTCTAATCGTGCCACCTGGCTCCAGGACCTGGGGACTCAAAGCCAAAGAAACCTGGGTGGAGGATATCCCTGTAACTAGAACAGGCGGTCTGTACGATATGGTGTACAATGGTTGTGGTTATGGAGTCTTCGACTTAGGGGCTTGTTTCTGCCATTTCCTTCCTTGCGGGAAGCGGAGACAACTCATTTGGCTGGGTGTGAGTTGGCCGGAGGTAATCAGGGTGTGGTGCACAGGTTCACGAAGCCGAGGGTGGTTGTGGAGACTCAGGCAGCCTCCGTGTCATTCTTGCCTCACTTCACGAGTCTGGATGTATGATAAAAAAAAAAAAGCACATTCCCTCTTTCAGGTCTAAACATACAAGAGGAACCATCTTGTGCCAGCAAAGACTTGTCTCTTCCTCATGGGAACAAAGGGAAGGGAGGTGACTGTAGTCAGACTTCAGGATCCATGTCTCCTGGCATAAGCTCAGAAACCATCTTGGAAATAGACAAATCAACTCTGAAGGTAGGAACCACCATTCTAAGGCACTGACATCTCTCTGTCCTCTAGACTTATTTCTTTATGCTGTATTGCTGCCCATGTGGTAAAATATCCTGTCTCCTTCCAGGACTCCCCAGAACCCTAAAGCCAGACCCAAACATTGCTAAACATTCTACACTGAAAATTTAACCAACTTTAGATCTGGGGAGTCAGTTCAGTAAGTAAATGACCTCTGCAAGTACGAGGACTTGAGTTCAAATCCCAGAGCCCATATCAAAGCTGGGTGCATATTTGAGAGTCAATAACCTTGGAGCTCCTATGGAGAGATGGGAAGTTGAGACAGGAAAGCCTCTAAAAGTTCTTGAGCTAGCTAGCCTGGTGTGTGCAGAGAGAAACAAAGAGAGACAGCTGTGACCAAGGTGGAAGGTTGACTTACACCCAATGCTAGCCTCTGACTTAGATTTGTCACAGGTACAATAGGCTGACTTTGGTTCTAGAACCTTTGGGATGCTTTCTTGAAAACCTCAAGTCTGTATGATTAATCCCCACAGAAGAAGATGCTACCATACTTAAGATGTTCCTCCAATGTAAAATCACTCCAGGCAGACCATGTTGGAGCCACGTACCCGCTTTACCAGTTCTGCTGACTGGAGACAGGAAGTGTGGGACTGGCTGAGTAGTCGAGTTGTTTGCCTTCAGAGCCACATAAGATCACACAGTGGCCTATTTTATATCAATCAGGAGTTTGGCTGGGATCAATGTGCTGACCAGTTATTAATGTAAACTTTTTGAGGGATCCTATTGAAGTTCCCCGCTCAGGAAAGATTCGTCAAGACCTCAAGACCTTGATTTCATTGCAGACCGTGTCTCTGACCAGTTTTCTTTATAACAATTATCCTTTTCCCTACTTCTTTCCTTTGCTCTTTATTGTAGGATATTTCTCCAACCTCTGGTGAGCATGACCGTTCTCTGGAGAAGGAGCATGCTGATGAGGCGGGACGATCTCCGCAATCTAATGTGTACTTGGCAGTGTTTCAGGAAGATCTGCCACAGGGCAAAGGTCTTGATGTTGGACCTTCAGGAACTCAGCTGCCACCTTCCCAGGATCAAGTCTCCACAGTTCCCAACTTGTGCTTCTTCCCAGATGTTCCAGAGCTGCCTTCTTCCTTTAGATCCAAAGGAACATTTCCCCACCATAACGTTGCTACCTCTGTGGCTGCCATCTGTGTTTCTGCGGGGATAAGAACAGGACACAAGACACAGGGGGCTCAAGGTGCAGAGTCTTGTGCAGAGGAGACTCTGGCACGAAACTCCCCAGACAGAAGAGCCACACCAGACAGTATACCACAGGTGCTCCTGCCAGGGAGGCCTTCACCTGGTAAACAGTCACCTGGAAAAACTCTAGAAATACCACCTTCAGGACCAAGTTCAGACAGTTCACATCAGGAGGAAGCAAGAGCCCAGGCAGATTTTCCTTTGTGGGCCCAATATGGATTTGGGGATCTGACTATCCAGGGTGCTGCTTCAGGAAGCGAGAGTGGGTCTTGTCGAGCTGAAGGATTAATTACCCTCAAGACTGTCACAGCTCCTTCTGACCCAGGACAACCCTCAGAAGTCCCCGAAGCCCCTTTGAGATCCATCCGAAAGAGGAGTTTGGAAGGAATGAGGAAGCAGACACCGGTGGAGCTCAGCGACACTAGTAGTGATGACGAAGACAGACTAGTCATCGAGATATGATGTGCTTCCAGAGAAAGATGGTGGCAGCGGCTAAGGCCTGTAGATCTTCTGGGATAGACATCAACAAGTGTTATGGGCACTGAACTTTATTTACAAAACATCTATAGACTAGGAAAGCCATCTATGATTTCTTCAAGCCAACTCTAACCAACCCCGTGCTCAGATCCAGCCATAACTTTCTCTAGCTTCTCTTAGACAGACCTCAGAGTCTTCTACATTCGTCTGGGAGACTCACAATGGCCGGAAAGGCCATCGCAAGAGACTCCGCGTACACAGCTCCAACTTGATGCTGTAACCCTCACTGCCTTGCCCACTAAACTGACACGAATCAGAAGAGCCATATGGGACTTTGTTTTTGACCAGTGAGACTCCATTGGATCAATACATCTGACACCCCCGCCACTAAGTTGAGTGACAAACACATCTGGGGTCATTGGGGTAGGTTGAGAGAGAAGGATAGGGTTTGAACTGGGCACCAAGATGGTTCCACACAATTTGGAGACTAACTCCAGATGCATTCAAAAACTGGTTAGGGCCTGCCATCTTCTTAATGAATACTGTAAATATACATCATGATGATGTCTAAGGCCATTTTATATGTTGCACAAATGGTCAATACTTGTTTCTGGTCCAATAACACAAGCACGTGTGTCCCTTGTACTTGGTGCCTTTTCTGTGAGAACATTCGCCCCACCCCCAAAGCCTTGGTTTTTTTTTTTTTCTTTTCTTTTCTATTTTTTAGGTCTTGCAAAGGAACATTGCATTAAGTTAGTAAAATAGTCACTGTAATGAGTCATTTTTATTTTTGAGGGGAAAATTAACTTATTTTCCTCTGATTCTTTTTGTCATATTGGGCTCCAAGCAATTTCAATTAGAGGGTTACATTTTAGTAATCTGTGCAGCCTGAACTGACGCCTGTGCCTCGTGATGGAGCCGTTCCGACTTCCTCCAGAAGCTTCCATGGCATAAAACTAATTGGAATTTTGATGCTGTTTTACATCTTGGTAATTTTATTTTGGGGGCTTAGTGTTACTTTGCTGTCAAATTAAATCAGCCTTTGTATTGTGAATCTCAGAACAGCACAAATCAAATCCCCCAGCATTCCCAGCCAGTGTGCCGTGGTGCGGAGGCAAGGCCTGCGTCAGCCAGCCCACCACGCAGGCTTCGCGTTCCCAGCCCTTACATGGGAGAGGGAAACTTCAAGAAGTTTACAGCGCTTGGTCCTTTATGATTTTCTACTTGCTGTGATATAATTTTGCACAATTTGTGATTTCTAGCCGAACTGTTGGCTTAACGCCGAGGTAGTGGCGAACACGTGACATCTCGTGCTCCCAGGCCAGGCAGCCACGAGAAGCACCTGCCTCACATGTGCGGGTAAACAGACTTTCAAAAGTCCTTATCTGTGAAGAAGTATGGTCCAGTTTCAAATATTTTCACGTGACCTTTCCGGTGTCGCTGCTATCCACAGAGAACGTGACTGCAAGCTTCTCCTTACTTTTTGGCGTAGGTCTGTGGTCATTACACGTGTTCAGAAATATCCCCCGACCAAATCCCAGCCAACAACGGCACAGAAGACCAGAAAAGAGCTAGACACCACCTCTCTACGCTTCTTCTTCTTCTTTTTTAATCATTACTTTTATTTTTTTTTTACAGTCCAGTCATTATCGCCCTTCAAGTCTGCCCTCCGACAGTTCCTCATCCCATTCCTCTTTCTCACTGTATCCAAGAGGAGGTCCCCACTCCCCCCAACTGCATTCTCCTCCCCCAGCCCCGGCTCCTACTAGACCTCCGCACTCCCTGAGACCTCAAGTCTTTTAAGGGTTAGGCGAGTCTTTTCTCCCTGAAGCCAGACCAGGCAGTCCTCCAGTCCTCTGCTGTATATGTGTGTGTGTTGGGGGTTGGGGGAAGTGGAGGTATCGGACCAAAAGGACAATGATTGGCTGCCCTTTGGATGACCTGTTCCTGAGAAAGGCAGTGGAGGAAGCTGTCAGAGCCCCATTGAATGGCTGTCCCTGTGTATGAAGTTGAGACCTGGACAGCGGAGCTGAGCGCGTCTGTGGGGCTGGATCCTGGTGAGAGTGGCGGAATGAGAAACCATGGTCTCCTTTACATCTGTGTCTTCATAGCTTAGAAGTGTCCCTCACAGAAAACATTGCTCCTGAGTTGCCTTGTAAGATGCTGAAGAACGTTCTGGGGTGCTGATGCACAGATACTGTTAGGGTACTTCTGCTAGGTAGTATGTGAGCTAAGGGAAGGGCTGTCTTATGCACCTCTCTGGAATTCCTGATTTAGGGGTGCAGTCACTCACCTTATAAATTGGAGTTTATATAACAAAAAAGCATGGCACTGAGTGGAAGAGACCATGTATGTAGGTGGAACTGCCTCCTCTATCTCAGGAGGTACAGGGCAGCAGAGCAGGACCGCTGTCTAGATCTGTGGTTCTCAACCTATGTGTCATGATCCCTTTAGGGGTCAAATGACCCTTTCAAAGGGGTCACCTACGACGATTAGAAAACACAGGAATTTACAGTATGATTCGTAACGGTATCAAAATTACAGTAGTGACGTAGCAACAAAAATAATTTTATGGTCAGAGGTTATCACAACATGAGAAACCATGTTAAAGGGTCACAGCGTTAGGGAGGTTGAGAATCACTATCCTAGATCCTTATTTCCGGGGGACAACTGAGTCTAAGAGGATCACCAGTCCCACATTATAACCATAGCTCCAAAGAGCACGCTGGGAACTCTGCCTCTTCCAAGCCACCATAGCTAGCTGCCACCCCCAAGGCTGGATTCGATATAGCAGAATGTCAACTGTATCTCTTTAAAGCCTCCTGTCTCTTACAAAGCCAGGGAACTCACCGGACCCGCTGGTTCACCTGATCACTTAGTGTCAGTCTTCCTAGGGGTCATTCACTTTAAATCAACAAGGGTTTGTGGACCCTGTATTTCAATAGAACTTTTGAAAAATGAAACAATCATTTTTAAATGGCCTTGGGAGGAGCTAGCTACCGAAAAACATTCTAAAGTAAGAGATACATGGTTTGGGTTAGTTTGGTTTTAATGGGGAGTCCTTTTGACCTTTTGATAATGTACCGAATAGTCACTGATCTTTCTAAATCTAATTTTCTTAAGGCAAAAGACAGTTATAAGAAAATTATAGGAAAACTTTTACCCATAAAACCCCCAAACTCAGCTTGGGTTATTAAAATAAAATTCTAGTACTAATACAGTCTATTGTTGCTGCGGTTTGAAAACATCGAAAGTGCACACCACCCGATGGATCAGGAAACACGTGTCTATTTTTCAGTGCTGGGGGTGTAGCTCAGTTGTCTAGTGCTTGCCTGGCATACACGAAGCTCGGGATTCAGTTCCCAGCACCACACATAAGAGGCACGTCAGGACAAGGGCAGCCCACTGTTTGCCAAAGCCGTTACTCTTATATGTACCTTCATGCAGGCGTCTTGCGTAATCAGTGCCTCCACTTCCCCCATGGAGGTGAGCTGCAGGGCTTCCGGCATGAACCGAGAGAGAGGAGCTAGGACCACTGCTCATGGTGTCTGATGCTGGCCACTGACTGTCCTCCTGAACTGCTATGCCTGGCCACATTTTGAGATGCATGGAGGAACAGGGTCTCATCTCACTTCTCCACTTGGCCAACTCTTAAAGCTTTGTGAGTTTTGGTGGCCGGCCTGACCGTCCCTGTCATGAGGTGCTATGGGAACTCCTTTTTCCTTCCTTAGGGCTAAGCTTGCCATCTCAGAGGAAGCTAAGACTAAAGATCAGTGGTGCACAGCTCTCAACTTGTAGTTTATTTGCAGGGTGGTGGAGAGGGGTGGCGAGGGAGCTAGGGAGGGAGAGAGAGGAGTGGGGGAAGGAGAGAGAGGTAGAAGAGAGATGAGAAAGAGAGAGGTAGAGAGAAAGAGAGAGACAGAAAGGGGGGAGGACTGAGGGAGGTGAAGGACGGAGAGAGGGAGGAGAGATAAACAGACATCTTCTGGACTCTAATAAAAGCATAGCTGGCAAGTAGGTGAATAACTTAGAACCGACTGGAACTTCCTTTTCCTAAATGCTACCCTCTAAAGCTGGGATCTGAAGTCTTAGTCTTGCACCAGTGCTGTGTGACCACTCGCCTCAGCGTGAAAGATAAAGGGGGTCTCAGTCTCATGCCAAAACTATTTCCCGGCATTCACATCCATTACTTAGAGTGACCTCATTATTCATTTCTCCCCCAGCACAGGAATGTGAATCTTGCACAAAATTTACCTGGTGCAGCAGATTTTTACAGTTACAGGATGCAGGGCTGCTCAGTGTCCTAGCTGAGGGAAGAAATGGCCCACCTGGCTCAGGACTATCCAATTCCTGCAACTACAACAAGGGGGCTTACTCCAGGTAGCCCCCAGTTCAAGGAGCGTTGGCTTTTGAAACACTACATTTGTCTTTCAAAACACATTACACACAGGTGTCAGGATGTGGAATAGTGTTGAGCGTCCCTTTTGTGCATCTTTGCTACACTTTGTATTGATGTGGTCAAAACTGGTCTGAAGGGACATAAGAACATGTGAGCATACTGTATCACCATGGGGAGAAGAGGAGTCAGGAAGAAGTCAGAATTGTCCTCTGGGAGCACTGGAGAGTGGCTAGCTTGCTTCCATGCACAGACAATTCCCTTGCTCATGGTTGGGAGACACTTGGCTTCTTGGTTGATGAATATTCTTCCACTTCTTTCTATGGTTAAATTATTTTGTTTTGATAAAAATAAAACTTAAAAATGAAAACATCTTGTGTGATTTATTAATTTGAACCCCAGCTACCTACCACAAGCAGTGACTTCCTGTAAAACTTCACTTCTGATTATTTGCAACCTGTTAACCAGACGCTGTGTCAGCCATGTTGGAATTCCATTTCAGTCAATGAAAGGATAGATGATAGCAAATTGCCCTATCTTCTTGTGCTATTGCTCTCCCCTGGTGCCTCGTTTGTCACACGGCCCTCCTTAATTCATAGTTTCTAACTTAAAATTGCTTTTTAAAATTCTTAAATGTGCCTGAACTTTGAAACCACATCAGAGTTCATGATAGCCACAGCGCAACAATCCAAAACTTTTCCCTTTAGAACTGATGTTTCTTGAAAGCTTAATGTTATTCATCAACAGAGAAAACATTTGTGCATCCCAATCTTACCTCTCCATGAAGACAGCTTGCGTGTCCGTTTCGAGAATAAGACAACATAACAGGTTTTCCAACACAGCATAGTGTTATCTTCGGCACTTACCGCCTCAGGGAGTCAGGGGGTCCGATGCTTTGGAGGAAGCATTGTGAGTGGGGCCTTGGAACATGTGCTCTGTCTGATGGCTCCTAACTGCTTAGTCCCTGACTCCTCAGACTCTAGCTATAAGACATTAGCCCATTAATTTCCAAACTTCAATGTTTTCAAAACCATCTCAGTGGCTTTTTTTTTTGGTCATGTTTTAATACAACACTCACAGGTATGTTATTTACTTAATCTTCTTATTTAAAAGTCTCTGCACTGCAGGAGAGATGATTGCTCTAAGCAACACAATCTGGGAAATGGCTCAAGTTATGTGAACTAGTTAGGTATCTTTTCTAATATACATTTAAGCACAAAATCATTAAAATCATTCATCTATGTAGCACTAAAATATCATCTTTATTGCCAAGAATGGTGTGTTCACAGCACTTGGGGAAACAATGAGATGATGTAAGAGATGTGGCTTCTCTCAGAACCTCCTCCAATTATTCTAGTTCCCAGTAAGCATACTTTCTGCCCTCATCTTTTTTCCCCTCTCCAAGATACTGAAATTGATGACCACACATAGAATAGTAGACATACAGGTAATTTTTTTCCATCAAAATGTACAGCTGAAGGCTGGAGAGTAGCTCAGTGGTTAAAAGCACTGACTGCTCTTTCAGAGGTCCTGAGTTCAAATCCAGCAACCACATAGCAAACTCACAATTACCTGTGATGGGATCCGATGCCCTTATCAGGTATGTCTAAAGACACCTACAGTATACTCATATAAATTAAATCAGTACATCTTTTTAAAAAATGTACAGCTGAGAGAGGCTGGAGAGATGGGTCAGCAGTTAAGAGTGCTGTACTGGGTTTGCAAAGGCCCTGAGTTTACTTTCCAGCATCCACATTAGATGGCTTACTGTTGTCCATAACTCCAACTCCAGGGAGGAAACAGTGCCCTCTTGTGGCTTCCACTGGCACCTACATTCACATGCACACACACATACACTGCCTCACATGCATACACATAGTTAAAATGAATAGGTAGATGGATGTGTTAGCGTTCACCTTTAATCATGCCATCCAGTAGGCAGAGGCAGACAGATCGATGTGAGTTCCAGACAGCCAGATACGGAATGGTATATAATGGTGTTCTATCACAAACAAACAAACAAACAAACAAGCAAAAAAGCTGATTTCCCCCTATGGCCCATTATTACATTTTGGGGTGTGTGTGGCTAGCGGGTAGCCTATAACTATATTCTGCTAAATCAACAGACAGGTTGGGATGACATTCTGCTATAGCTGCAGACCAGTACATCTCTCAAACCCATCACAGAAGCTTCTTGCAGTAGATGGTAATACAAAGTCCCACAGCTAGATAATGTCCAGCGACTGAGGGACTTTGGAGTACTCAGCCTCAAATGGAATGTCTCTATCAAGCCCTTCCCCTTGAGGCTCAAGGACCTCTGCCCAAGAGTGTTAGAAGAGTCTGAAATCCAGAGGTGATAGACAACTTCAAGGAAACTCCATCTCTAGGCACAGGAGGACTGATACACACACAAACTCATAGAAACAGAGACAACACACATGAGACCAACACAGGTTCAAAGAAGACAAAATGCCAGCATGGAGTGTTCTCTCTCTCTCTCTCTCTCTTTCTCTCTCTCTCTCTCTCTCTCTCTCTCTCTCTCAATGTAGCTCTTAGCTACTTTTCCAAGCACTATGCCTGCATGCTGCCATTCTTTCCACCATGGTGAACCTCTGAAACTCTAAGCCAGCCCCCAAATCAACACTTTTCTTTATAAGAGTTGCTCTGGGGCTGGAGAGATGGCTCAGTGGCTAAGAGCAGTGACTGCTCTGCCAGGTCCTAAGTTCAATTCCCAGCAACCACATGGTGGCTCACAAACATCTGTAATGGGATCCGTTGCACTCTTCTGGTGTGTCTGAAGACAGCTACAGTGTGCTCATATAAATAATAAATAAATAAATAAATAAATAAATAAATAAAATTAAAAAAAAAGAGTTGCTGTGGTCATGGTGTCACTTCAAAACAACAGAATACTCACTGTTTCTATACAGTTATGTTTTCTGCTACTGTAATAAAATATCATGGCCAAAAAGCAAGTTGGGGAGAAAAGGGTTTATTTGGCTTACACTTCCATATCACTTATCATTGAAGGAAGTCAGGGCTTCCCTCCCTCATTAATCACATTAAAGAAAATGTCTTACAGGCTTGCATATAGCCTGATCTTATAAAGGCATTTTCTTAATTGAGGTCCCCTCCTCTCAGATGACTTTAACCTATGTCAGGTTGACATAAAACTGTCCAGCACAGTGACTAAGACAGAATGTCTCTGGCTATATCAAACACACCCAAGGCAGCGCCCATGTTTAGAAGTAGTTGACCAACACAAAGTATATACCATGTTTTTGTGTGTGTGTATGTGTGATTTCTGTTTAGTTTGGGAATTTTTCTTTTGTCGTTTGTGGTTTGGGATTATGATTTTTTTAAAATTTTTGTTTATTTTTGGTAGGGAAGGGAGATAGAGAGGCATTGGGAGAAAGAAAAGGATCTGATCAAACTATATTACACAATAAACTATTTAGAAAGTCAATAAATGAAATGAAGATCTCCAGCTCCCCATTTATTCCTCTGAATCCAATCCCTTCATTCCATCTATCCACAGTAGACCACCTCCTTCCCTCCCCTTCTCCCATCTCCAGTGGCTCACATATGTCCTCCCCTCCTAAGCCCCCCAACGCTTTGTCCTACCTGCAAGGGCCTGAAGGTACTCCATGGAAGCGCACAGTGGCCATGGAAACAGGTAAGCTAATTGCAGATCTTCACCTATTCATTCTCTTCTCCAAATCTGATACCCTATTCTCACCCCATCTCTGTAGCAGACTACCCACTTCCCCCTCCTCTGTGTCCCATCTCCAGTGGCTCATGCAGATCTTCTCCAACTCCCCTCCCTTCACCCTGCTAGCACCATCCCATCTGTGTATGCACTCCCTGAGAATTCAACAAGAGGGTTGGATAAGAGTAGCCAGTGAAGTCCTTCTTGTCCCATGTCTCATCACCAGCTCTGCAGCAGACTACTTCCTGTGGCCTCTCCTTACTCTCTGCCCCCATTCCCAGGGGACTAAGCAGATCCTGATGTAGCACCCCGCTTTCTTCTCTCCTGTGAATCCCCTCAGCCCTCTCCTAGCGCATTTCCATTCCTGAGTGTCAGCTCCCAATACCTAGAAACACACTTCACCTGCAACCCTCACTACACACTAAAGCAGAGAGAGCAAAAGAAACCAAAGAACAAAACAGCCACCCAACCAAGACAAGAGCAGATATCAGCACCTAGAATTACAATCTTCTCAAAACTAGATGCCAAGACACCAGTTTCAAAACACAATCAATAACAGCCAGGACAAAATGTCTCTGCTAGAGCCCAGTAATCCTTCAACAGTAGAGCCCCGAGAAAGGCAACAGAGCTGAAACAGAAGACAGGGACTTCAAAATGGCCTTTATGAATATGATAGGTGTTCTTAAAGAGGAAATGA